GAATGCTGAGTCTGGGAATGCTAACAAGTCTGGGAATGCTGCAAGTCTGGGAATGCTGCAAGTCTGGGAATGCTGCAAGTCTGGGAATGCTGCAATTTTAGGAGTGCATCAAGTCTGGGAATGCTGCAAGTATGGGAATGGTGTGAGTCTGAGAATGATTTGAGTCTGTGAATGCTGCGAGTCTGAGAATGCTGTGAGTCTGGGAATGCTGTGAGTCTGGGAATGCTGCGAGTCTGGAAATGCTGCAAGTCTGGAATGCTGTGAAAATCTTTTTAGATAGAGATTCAAAAGTCAATGCAAATATATTACTATCTTTTGGGGAAAAAAAACTTCCATCTAACTCCTAGGGAACAAAAGCATATTGGTACTGACATGACCTGAACCAAAATTATGTAAGTTTGATAAGGATGAACAAATTCTTACCCGCTTAACAAATGTAGACGATAATATATCCCATGATACAATACCATGATCCATTAATTCCAAGAATGCTTTCAAGGAAAACGCCAACACTTCTCCAGTTCTGAAAACAGCACGAAAAAAAAAACAATATTAGGTGACATTAATTGCTTTTAAAATTCTCACTTGGTGACAGAAATAATCAGCAAAATAGTTGATTAAATATAAATTAATTGTATTTTGCTGCCTGTTTAAAAGTGACTAAGGTGTGATCAATTCGTTTTCTCATTATTGTTCAATCAGTAGTACAGACAGAAATTTTCCATTGCATTAGTTAGACTAAAAAAGGAATACTACCAAGATTTGCTCACAACACCAGTTTTAATTGCGTCTGAAAACTCGTCTACTGAGTAGACTAATCAACGAGCAGCCCCTCGGCTAAGATAGCTACGCTGTTAGAAAATGACCAAATCTCAGAAAGGTCTATGTATAGTAACAAAGCAATCAAACTTGCTGTTTTCAACAAAAAGTCAAAAATATCACTTTTTACAAAAAAAAGCACAACAAATATTCATCAAAATTAGGTAATTGAAGATATCATCACAAACAAATCTGAGAGAGGTCTACCTGAGGTACCTATATGTATAATATCAAAGCAATCAGACTTGCTGTTTTTAACAAAAACTCAAAAATATCACTTTTTATCAAAAATGACAAAAATACTCATCAAAATTAGAGAATTGAAGATTTAATCAAGAAATGAACAACACTGAGAGAGGTCTGCCCAAAATACATATACACCAAGTATCAAAGCAATAAGGATTGTAGTTTTTAAGAAAAAGTTGAATAAGTAAAAAGTTGACACGGTTAACAGACAATCACATATGATAGCTCCGTTTGACAAAGTCAACAGCGGAGCTAAAAAAAAAAAAATTCAAGATTATTTGTTCTCAACATGTATTAAAATTGTTGTTCTTACTCAGTTCCTTTTTCTACTCTTTCCACAAGCATTTCAACACCTTTTCTCGAAATGAATTCACCAGCAAAAGTTACATCAGATGAGTGTTTCGCCAATCGCTTTAACGCATCTTTCTTTTCCTCCATTTTTCCAACGGAAATTTTCTCAAAGACTTCCTGTGCAGCTTTTCCCTGCGATATAAAACATGACAAATAGTAATAATCTTGTTATTTATTACATTATTTATTACATATTAATGCAATAAGTTTTCCCGCCCAAACTGAGTTGCAACACTTTGTAAATTTGTATATATTTTCTGTAATTTCTAGGCTAATTTTGAACGAAATAGACGTAACTTAATATAGAAAACAAGCAGTCTCTTGGCTGAGACAGCTTCATTGTAAGCAATGTACATTTCAATTCGAAAATTGAAGATATCATCACAAAGTGAAGAAACCTGAGATTAGTCAACTAGAGGTACCTATATGTATACGGTAAGGCCAGACTTTTTTTATTCCTTGTTTCTCGAGTTTGTATAAGGCAATTTTTTTGAGGAGGGCGAAAAAAAAAAAAAAATTAATTCTTTTTTTCCATTAGATTTGTGTGATTCTCAAAGAATTGTAAGCGAGATCATTGATCGGAGAGAAGAAATGAAATAAAATTTTATTCCATGTATAACCTTGTTTCTCATCTGCGCGAGACTTCGGTACATTTGATCACGTTACTCCCACAAAAATGCAACTTGGATTTGTTATGCGGCGGGCGGTAAAAAAATGAAGATAAAAATAATATTTTTTTAGCATTTTTTTGCGCTTACAAGTCGGCGGGCGTGAGAAATTACGCTGAAATAAAATTTTATTTTTAATAAAATTTTATTTTTATTTCATTTTCGGCTCCTGTTTTCACCAAGAAATCGAATATTTTACTTTTTACCAAAAATGTCAAAAATATTCACCAATGATATTTTTTTTTCATGAAAGTGCTATCCTGAAAAGATGCCTATTATACAAACATATGATAAAGATAACAGTTATTATTATACATCTGTCACCGTGACAACTTAAGTTACAGCGTGCCGTAATTTTGCAGTATTTTACGGGGTATTTTCATCCTACCATATTAGGAAATCCGAAAACATGGCTGCCACCAGAGTTTGCCCGGACTCCACACATTCTCATGGTGTATCATTGGAAGGAAAAAATGTACAAGGATACCTCAAAATACGCACTCAGACAGTACTCCGCTGCACGTTGGTGGATGATCCAGCTATACTGTCTTCGTGCATACTTTGAGGTATCCTCATATACAAGCTATACTCACCGGTGATATTGTCAGCGTTAATATTTTACCATTGATGTCATGTCTGTTCTTCTCCGTGATGTATACCAGCTCTCCCTCTGTTTGTTGTAGCGCATACTGATCGGGGTCAGCAATGTTCCAACCATCGCATAATTCTTTTATGATCTTAACCAAGGGCTTATCCTGAATGGCAAAATACATAACAAAATGTGATATAGTAGATAAAAACAAACATCTATTTTATATGTAATACCTTATTTGGTTTATCAGAAAAGCACCCCCAATAACATGAAACAAACACTGAATTCTATAGAGAGTGTATGATTTATTTTACATGTACTGTACACTAGTATACTGAAACATTAATAAATGGCCTTAGCTTGATCATAGACACACTCACTAATGTAAGCAAATGTGTTACTAACAGAAAAAAAATACAGTATATATATTTACTGAAACATTATACTCACTGGCCAATTTAAGACTCATTTACAAATGGATGTGACTTTGATTAAAGGAAACATCAATCCAAACAACATTATGACCTTTAAAGAAAAAGCTCCACAAATGTAGGAGAATGCAATTTACAGTTTTTTTATATCACTTTTT